TCTTTCTTCCCCATACTGATGCTCGGTTTGAACTGCAGGAGATTGTCTTGACCATGTCTACATGCCTAAATGCACTGAGTTGCTGCCATGTGATTGGCTGATTAGAAATTAAGTGTTAACGAGCAGTTGGACAGGTGTACCTAATAAAGTGTCCGGTGAGTGTAATTATTGCTGTTATGGCCGATAACCGATATTTATCGATATTACACAAACAAACAAAATTATATTACACAAATACACACAAACACACTTTGGTCTTTTTTTGATACCGTAAATAAACAACCAGACCTCTGACATGGCTCCCTACTTCAGTTATTCCTGGTTATGCAGCGTCAGTATCACTATCATGATCAAACAGATGCCGTTCAACCAACCATCTCCCCTCCCAAAACAGAAACACAAAGATAAAAAGTGGGAAATCAACATCGGTCGTTAATATCAGCCGTTATACATATCGGACCGATACTCTAAAAAATTGACAATATCAGCCAATACCGATATCAGCACAGATATATCGTGCATCCCTATTCTACAGTGCATCCCTGGTGTTATGTTCCAATGAAAATAAAGAGAATCTGAATCTTATCTGAATCGTGGAGTATAAACTGACCACATTTCCTCACTGTGCTGTTGTCTTTAGTCGCTCTTCTCTAGATGTTGAATTATTTCCATCAATAACGTGTTTTCTTTGTCTCTCTTCCAGAGGAAAATACACCTGGACCAGTTCTATGTTTGTGTCTCTTTTCTGTCCCAAACCCAGCCAGTCGAGGCAGATGGCCACCTGTCCTGAACCTGGTTCTGCTGGAGGTTTCTTCCTGTTAAGGAGTTTTTTTATCTCCACTGCTGCCGGTGTGCTGCTCAGGATGGGAGACTGTGACGAAGCAAAGATTTGGCGCAGTCTGCTGGCTTCTTTAGATTTTTTTGTGTGTGTGTGTGTGTGTGTACAGTGCCCTGAGATAACAGTTGCTGTGACTTGGCGCTATATAAATAAACTGAATTGAATAGAATTACTGTTACTCTGTAGGACAAAAGCTGTAAAGTTTTGGAGCCACTGCTGTACCAAGAATGCAAACACAGCTCTTGATTTGGACAGCACCCTGTTCTCCTGCCCCCAACACAAACACAAAATGCCTCAAGGRACACGGCCACAGCCTCTTCCAAATCCACAAAACAGGCGCAGACTGGAGAGTCAAATTCCCATGACCCGCTTAGAAACTCCACAAGGATRAAAAGCTGGTTCGCTGTTTCACGACCAGGATGAAAGCCACTCTGCTTCTCCTGAATCCAAGATTCGATAATCAGCCGGAGCCTCCCTTTCAACGCCCTGGAGTAAACTTTTCCAGGGAGGCTCAGAGGAGTTATTCCTTGATAGTTGGAGAACACTTTGGGGGACCACCACCCCGGCCTCTAACTCCAGTTTTTGACATGATGCGTCAACCCAAACAGTCCCACAACAGTCAAACACAGTGAAAACCTTTTATTTTCAGCTGTTTTATAGGCTTAATAAGAGTTACAGTGCAAAAATCAAACAATACATTCAATTTGTGGCAATCTTTGGTGCTAAAATGTTTATTAAAATGACAATTGTCAGTGAATATAGATATCCAGCTGGATAAATATCTAAATCAAAAACAAGTATGACACAAACAATGACAAAACCTCTCCGATTTAAAAAAAAAGTTTGCTGACATCAGCATTTCTGATTGAGTTCCTGACCTCATAATTTTATAAAAACTGTGAAACCAGCTGCTTTTATAAAGCAGCTCRCCTTCTGCCGGATATCACAAACATTCCAAACTTATGCTCCTCCTAAAGCAGATTTAGGTTTGAATGAGATTCAGTGCTGAGGATAACTTTTAAAATACATTCAACTTCATGATGGATGCGAGTAAATCTGTCAACGTGAAGACTTTCAGAATAGATTTGATGGTTTCTGATGTCCTCTAAAGTCGGATCTACGCAGCGGAGTGTGTGTATTCAGTAGTCCTGGTCCAGGTTAAACAGCAGTGAGTTGTTTTGAAGCCCAGCGCTCCTCAGCGCCTCTCTTCTCCCTTTCTCCTTCAGAAAAACAGAGACAAAAGAGAAGAGAGTCAGCCTGAGAGAGTCTGAACGTTTCCACCTCAGTGGCRGTTTGGAATCAGTTTTAATGGTTCTCTCATTAATTTTGATTCGTTTAAATCAGGGTTTTTTTTTAGTGTTTGTTTGGCTGACGCATGTGCTAAACAATGCAGTTGAGTGTAGTTTTCTTACCTGCTGGTACTGCCTGATGGCCTCCTTCTCTTTCTGGAGCCGCCGGAGCTCCAGTGCATCAGGTTGGTAGCCCCCCGGGACGATGTAGCTCTCGGGGCGGTTGGTGCTGCAGATCTCACAGCCCGGCCGGGTCGGTTTGTTTATGTATGTGCAAGAAGGACAGGACCAACCCTGAAGGAGACGTCATTATTGTTACACTTCACTTCCTGTCTTTAACCTCAGAAAACATCTTCAGAAGCTTTCCCCTTAGCAAAACATGGTACATGCAGGTATCCTTTACGTATACTAATTTCAAACTAAAAATAAAAGAGTATACTTCTACTTTACTTTTTATGTACTTATCTGAGATATACTTAACCAAGTTTATCTTACACTATACTTGGCTTGTACTAAATGTATACTAAAAGTTTAAGTATACTTAGTTTAAACTAATGGAATGGAATGACATTCCTCAAAACTTAAAGTCCATTTCAAAACTACAGCCCTTTAAGAAGAATCTTGTCT